CGATTTGGCAATTAAAGATACCATTTCACCGCTCTTGTCATCCATGTGTTCATCAATTTCGGCATACTACCATTATTTACTATTCATTCATGGAAACGCACAAATTCATCGCATCAATCATTATCTAAATAAGCGTGAAAATGATAACACTAAAATTGCTATTTCAGAGTGCTAGATTCTCTATATTCTTATTACTCCGTTTTTTTTTACGAATAATTATGTTTGTTTATTTATCTGATATATTTGACATCTACAAGTTTTTCACCGTTGCCATGGCTACCCATGACACGGATACTCTTTCCGACTGGTTCTATGCCTATCCAACCTTCGCAGAATACTATTAAGTTTAATCCCAACCTGATCTGAATTCAAATGGTTAGGGACCTATTAAAGGCCGAGCCGCTCTGATCCTGGAAGCATTTCTACGGCAAAATTTGCCAAATAAACTTTTGTTAGCTTGCTACCAAGCTCTACCTATCTCCTATGGCAACTTTTTTGCTCTCTAACGTCTTACTTTACTCCACTGAACCACTCCACGTTCTTCCTCATAGACTGACACATATTACCGCCCGGCCTCCAGCAGCTTCGGCCTGCCTAGCAGCTGCGCTTGTCGTCCACCAGCAGTGCCAGCCGTTCTACCACGGCACCGGCCGACCTACCAGCAGCGCCTGCCGATCACCAGAAGCGCCGGTCGAGGACCAGAAGCGCTGCCCACCTACTCGTAGCGCCGCCTGTTTACCTACGGCACGGTCTCCTGACCCTCAAGCCAGGATCCAAAGCCTTCTCTACAAAGACCGATGACCGACGCCCGCTACACTTCACACCACCAGACTACTCACACCTACATTCGTCCCTTTTGCACTTCCCTTTTTTTTACTTGCCATTGTAAATATTTTTGATGTTGTAAATAGGTATATACTCTATAACCTTTTTCTGTTTTTCTCCTTCCCTTTTCCTTTTTTTTACTCCATTTATTTTGTCGCTACACGATAATTGCTGTAGATGAAACTGATTAGTTTCGTTTCCACCATTAAGAGCGGACGCGAGCTGAGAGTCATTTTAGAAATAGGTATTCGAAGAAACAATTGCTGTCACGCATTGGCGAATACCGTGTGATAGGGACAAAAGAAGCTAACGCTGAAAATGCGTATAATAATTGCAAAATTCTAGGTTTGGCTCTCGACGAATTTCTCCTCAAAAATTGGATATGTGTAAAAGAAATTTTACCCATAGAGAATAATAATAAGTGGTTATGCTAGGCTTCTATGTTTTGATTTTTTGTAACTCCTTAATGAAACGCGCTTATTGAATACGTGTTTTGTGGTGATAAAAATTTGCTTATTTTTGGCATTTTTGAGGGCTTCTAGTTGCTTTGAAAAACAAGTTATCGAAAAAAGGAAAAGCTTAAAATGAATAAAATTATATTTTATGTATGAAAATAATTTCTTTAATGATAAAAATCAAAGAGGAATTAGTCGAGAACGTTTGTATGGAAAAAACATTGCCCGCCTCCCCTCGACCGACAATACCTACAGATAGTGTCCTCTACACCATCGTGCGTGATAATACTTATATATTATGCAATTATATAATTAGGTATTTCTCTTTGAATGGAATAATATATTTTTACAATTTTATGTAACTGGAGTAAATTTTCATAATAACAATGTGTGAAACTTTCATTGCACATGTCCGTGGATTTGGAGTTATTTGTTTATTCGGTATTCATTTGTTTTTCAACATAATTTTTATGACAAGAAAAGAATGGGGAAATATTAGTATGATTGCAAACGAAACGAATCAGTTTCAGTACAATGCCCCAATAATATTTGAATTCTTAATTGATTTCAAAACTGAACTTTATTTAGGTATATAAATTATTCAAAATTTGTATAATTAAATGTTATTGTAATCTTAAACTTGTACATATTATACTAATTGCTGTAATATTTTATTATGAGATGCATTTATTGATAAATAATTCTATGATACATTAATTGTTTTGTAAGGTCCTTTATTATGGAAATAAAGAGATTATATTATTATTATAAAGGTATTTTTATGCTCCAATTTACGCACTTTTAATGCATACAAATATAAATCATGTAGGGATAACCACAACAATTACACCATCATTCATCAATTATTGTCAATACTTTTTTAATTGTATTCCACTTCTTTATGCGTTTTATTATTAAAAGGATCATTTATCGATTTTGGCAACTGCTGGTCTTATATGTTTTTAGGTCAAACGGTGTCTCTATTTCGAATACGCTTTTTGTAAATATTGGAAGCCTTATGTATGTTAAAGTGTTTACCCAAGTTCTTAACTGTTTTGTACAAAGTGTCAAAACTGTCGAATGTTACTAGCAATAAAAAACAAATCTTTATAAAATACTCTTATTCCGTTGGAAAAGTTTAACATCAATAGGGCTAAAAGCTAGCGTGTAAAATTAAATGTTTTCATGTAAAACGAACTAATAACTTTTCGCCCTTAGAGTTCCGCTCTTTGTGTATCAATTTTGTACCGTGATCAAAAGAGAGACTCATTAAAACTAGGACAAAACATTTTGAAACTGCATATTTACTATCGAATATAAACGAATAATTTGATTAGTAGCCACTTTCGACAGCTAGTATGTTAAAAATTACTTAATTTGTATCATACTATATTTTTGTCGATAACTGTTACAATTATTATTATAAGTATAATAATTGTATCAGTTATCGACAAAAACAACGTTGTTACTGTATATTTAGTAAAATTAACAATATTTGCAGTTTAAATCTAATGAAAATATTACTAGATTAAATTCCACGTGGACCAGGCAGCAGATGGATAGCGAAGGTGCGGGTTCGAGTCCCGTCTGCTGCCTGGTCCACGTGGATTTTTTTCTAGTTAATTTTTCTTTAGATTTAAACATCGCGCAGTGCAGTAGCTTGTCTACTAAATATATTTCTGTCTATATCTACTACATATATTTTTCCTCAGATCACAGGAAGGACACCTGATATCAACTGTTTATTGGAGGTTCCTATTAAAAGTTTTCACACTTAAAGGAGCTGTCTTATCTCAGTACTCATAATTATACGCTCAAACAAACCTTACAAAAGCTTAGTTAGTGAGCTGTTAGTTCACGGATTTGAGTTCTAGGAATTATTAAAACACCTTAATTAATTAATTAATATAATATATGTATGCAATATCGAAATCAGAATGGCCATCTTGTGATGTTGAATTTTACTTGACTTGATAATATATTAGCAATAAAGTTATTTTTATGTTTGCCGTACTACATAGCCATGATGTAGCCACTGCCGTATGGCTACACCATGGGTCCGTTTTAAACGCTTTCAGACCAAATTTAATCAAAAACTCCAACGTAAAGACCTGATCATTAAATTGATCAATTTATTTAGAAAAGGTTCTACCATGGAATTCGATCTCGAGCTCTAAGAATTTCCATCACTGCGCTATCTTTGGCGAGTTCTACCTAGGTATCTCGTTTTTTACATTTGCTCTTAAAGCTTTTGAAACGGACTATACCTATGCGCCAGTTTTTAGGAAGGCATCATAGTATGTAATACCTATGTTCAGTATGATTAGCCACTAATAACCTAGTAGCTTGGATGTTAACTCTAAGAGAAGGACGTTGAGGAAGTTGCCTCAGCCATAGTATTCTACCAAGGGTCAAATAACCTGATAGATTTAAGCGATAAGCAGCTGATATCAATACATATAATAAAATGGTAGGAAAGTCAAAACTGTATATTGAATATTTTTTTAAAAGAATAATTGGGGTGTGATCTACAATCGATACCGTAGCCACTGTTTGTCTATATCTATGTCCGGAATAAACTCAAAAAGTACTGCATGGATTTACTTCAAATTTGGCACGAATATTATTAAGAAGTCGGGTCAAAATAAAGGCTACATATTATCACGCTATCACCTACGGGGAACGAGCAGTGAACCTTTATTTCTAACTAACTCCACGCGTACGAAGTCGCGGGCCGCCGCTAGTCCTTTCTAAAATATCATGTGGTAGAACATACTTATGTTTTACTACATAATATTTTAGAAAGAATGACAAAATAATCATTTGGAGGCGAATGCCCTGCTCGTTATTTTTAAGTTTTCGCGTAGATTTTATTTGATTTTTTCCTTAAATTGAGTTTATTCACGCTCCTTCTGATTGTTTTGTTCGATTTCCCAGAATTACGTCAGGTTGTGTGGTCATTGGCATTTTGACACAGTGCAGTGTAGGTACACGTTTTGAGGCATAATTAATATCAATCAAATTGCATTGGCCTGGATAGCGAGGGGTGCGGGTTCGAGTCCCGTCTGCTGCCTGGTCCGCGTGGATTTTTTTCTAGTTATATTTTCTTCAGATTTAAACATCAAGCAGTTACATGCCTAAAAAAATATAACTTAATAAAATTGATATTTATTACATTAAAACTTATTTACGTATAAAAATTTTTGAATGACACATGATACAACTGCGTACAGGTACCTAAATTAATTATATTCACTCCATGATGCCATGTGTAGCTAGTTTGTTTTAATTTTTATTGTTGGATCTAGAGAATGTTTTATTGACTAATAATCCGAATAAAAATAAAGTTAATAAGTTGCCTAACCATACCATTTTGTAAATGGCTGCGGACGGCTACGTAGTTCAGTCGTTCTTTGGGACCGATCGGAACATGTGACCTCATTCGTTCTACAGTGTTGCCGCTACTGATACTTTTAACCAAGATTATTTATAAAATATAAAATTGTAACCGTTCAACTGATGGTGGTCTGCTATGTTAAAAGGAATTTAAACAAATATTAGAAATAACTTCATAAAATTTCAAAATAATCACACTCACTATACCTGTATCGTTACAACTATTCATATAAATTAGGTACAACTATGTCAGTAACCTTGCAACATATTCACGCCAGTCAATATCACAAGTCGATGCAATTTGTTGTTGCGTTACTTTTAGACTTTATACTTGTTTACGTTTGGACAATCATAATGTAAGTAGGTAGTAATATTACTACCTAAACGAAAACTTATTGTACTAAAACGTTTAGAGAACAGATAGTAATGATCTGTACACACTAGGCACTGTAGACAATGAAGATTATGTAACTTTGTTTGTTTCGATTCTTATCGAACTTTGCGACTGCGTTGTTTGTGTCTCTGTAGAGTGATAGTGAAATATACGTGTTTTATCAACTTATTATTTGTTGTGTACACTCTGTTCAACCATACAAAACGAGTAACTGCTTTCATATATAGTGTCTCGTTACTGCAGTATCTGTGTTCTCATTATTATTTGATTGTAATACATTTACAATGACTTCTTTAGTGCAAACAGTATTAGGAGATGTCAGTCCAGAAGAACTTGGAAGGACGCTAACACACGAACATTTATCTATGGCTTTTGAACATTTCTACCGGAGACCGCCATCGCAACTAGCATCCAGAGTGAAATTCGAAGAAGTCACATTAAAAACAGTGGGTTATTTGAGGCAATACCCTTACAGCTCGAAATTTAATCTTGTAATGAATGACGAACGGGCGCAAGACGCTGTATTGAATGACGTCAAAATATTTAAAGAATGTGGAGGTGGTACTATAGTCGAAAATTCAACCGAGGGCCTGGATCGAGACCTGGGATATTGCAAGCGTGTATCGCAGATTTCAGGGGTCCATGTTGTAGCTGGAACTGGATACTATATTACAGATACACAACCGGCTAATCACCTTCACCACAGGCAAGAGGATATGTATAATCATATGTTAACCCAGTTAACTATAGGGCAAGAGGTTTCGGGCAGCGCTATTAAAGCTGGTTTTATGGGAGAGATCGCTAGCGTTTGGCCTTTGAGAGATTTTGAGATCAAAGCCATCAAGGCAGCTGGGGAACTCCAAGAAAATTTCGGATGTGGAGTCAGCTTCCATCCACATCGCGTCACCGAAGCACCATTCGAGATCATTCGGCTTTACTTGGAAGCTGGGGGCGCAGCGGACAAAGCAGTCATGTCGCATCTCGACCGCACACTTTTGGAAAATGAAAAACTTTTAGAGTTCTCCGAACTAGGCACGTACTGCCAGTTTGATCTGTTCGGTATTGAAGTGTCGTACTATCAGCTTAATGTGGATACGGACATGCCTTCTGATGCGCAGAGAATCGATAAGATACGTCTTTTAGTTGATGAAGGGAAAGAAGACAAAGTCCTTATGTCTCACGACATTCACACGAAGCACAGACTAATTGATTTCGGTGGGCACGGTTACTCGCACATCATCAACAATGTTTTACCAAAAATGAAGTCTAAAGGTATCTCTCCGGCGACTATAGATAAAATAACTATCGAGAACCCAGCAAAATGGCTCAGTATTAATGTTTAAGTGTAGGATGAACACCATATAGTAGCATTTAGCGATGTGCCGTGCGATGTTATTCCATAATCTACATAAAATAAAAAACATTCAATAGGTACTTTTTTGGAAATCATTGTAACCAAATAAAAATACTTTATTTATCAATCGATTGGTTTCAATAAAAAAGTCCGTTTAATTTGCCTTTAACAGCAGAATTTAACATGAGTAAAGGAATAACATAACAAAGTAAATGGCTGATAGTGAGCTGCCACTTTTAAAGACATTTTTTTTGACAGCTTGACCCCTTTGCCAAACCATTACTCTGAGCATAATAAGGGCTACTTGCATTATGTATAAAATTAAAATTATGTGTAAATTGTTTCAATTTACTACTGAACTGTGTGCCATTGTTTCTTCTTACAACCTCCGGTATTCCAAATCTACCAAATGTCTCTTTACAATGTTTAATTATGGTTATTTCGGATGTCTTTTCATTAAAATATATCCAAGTATCTAGAAAAAAGTCAATCACCATGTACCAAGTGTTATCATTTTCAAATAAATTAATCCCAAGCTTTTGCCAAGGTCTTTGTGGCAGGTCTTTACTTGACAGGGTTCTTTATGATGCATAATCGAGCTATCCTCGACTATACCACGGCGAGTGTTCTGAGGAGTTATTCTCCCATATCCCTCCATCACCTTTTCTTCAGAGGACCTAGCGCGCTGGCCTACATTGCCACCGACTTACTGTGGCCACTATTCCTACACGAACAAAGAAATTTGGTGACTCATTTCTTTGTCGTACTATTCGTAAGTGGAATTCCTTACCCGCGCACGTGTTCCCTCCTGCCTATAATCTGGGGTCCTATAAGAGAGGCGTGAAGAAGCAATTTTGCAAGCCGGCAAGTTGAGGATGGTTGGTGTAGCAGTTTATAACTACTATCTTCGCGTTTGGACTTTATCACCACTTAACATCAGTCATTTGCCTACCTCGCTATAAAAAGATAAAAACAATAAATTGTCATCAACATGAATCACCACTCGTTCGATTTAGATCTGTAAACAGTTTAGCAAGCTTCATTGAGAAGTATTGGGGTGCACAGTTTAAGTCCATGGGTAAACGGTTGTACAACTATCTTAACACCTTTTGGAAGATAGACGACCTTCCAAAAGATGTTAAGATAGTTGTAAGCTTTTTTGATTCTTCAGTTAAAACAATTTGAAAAAATGCAGTAGTGTTCTCAATTTTAGAAAATACCCTAGCTCCTCTTAAGCTTGCCAGTGCATTTTTTTTTAAATGTAGATTGGAAATATAACTTACAAAATGTTTTTATTGACCTGTGTATAATCAACACAGATTCCTACACCCTCAAGCCCTTTAGGTACATCCACAATAGGAAATACAAACATAGTTGGCTCTAAATAGAAATTGAGTTTTAAGTTTAGAGAATCATGCCTGAATCGATACCAATAATAGCAAATAAATAGTAATTTTCTTTTCATTACAATACAATACAATACAAAAACTCTTTATTGTACACCACAAAAAAAACATTGAACATTGTACAAAACCATCTAGTACAAATGATGCAATGGGCGGCCTTATCGCTTAAAGCGATCTCTCCAGGCAACCTTTCTTTCTTATTATTAGGTTGTTTATGTATCTTGAATACAGAACCGACTTTGTCAACCTCGAAACGCCGTGGTCTTGGTCTGCCCTACCCTACCCTACCTACCCTAGAGTGTTTTTCAGAGCCCGGAGGGACGGAGGGGGAACAGACCCCCCCCCCCCCCCCCGCTGTAACAAAGTCACAGGCACTCGCGACCCGTAGCAGCTGAGGCTGCAGCAACAAGTATAAGCTGCGGAGGGAAGCGTGAGTGCCTATAAGCCTTTGTAACGCAAGGGTGGATAGGCTGCTAATCCCACAGCGCCGAAGATGATGCGCAAGAGCAGTGTATAATAAAAATATTTTAGTAGAAAACTTTAAATCATAATCAAACTAATTTATTCAATTTAGGCTGTTACAAGCACTCATTAATGTCTAGAAGCTATGCCATCGGTTTGGAAATCTACGGCGCGGCGGGAGACCAGGAGCTCTATTTTTGAAGCACTCGTCTTGCGTCGAACGCTTGATTTCTACTAAATTTCATTCGATATAATAATTCCGTATTTTTGAATCGCTCGAGTGCAACGAATGGGTAAGAACACTTGCTGAATGGTGGAGGCGAATTATAGAATAATTGTCATTTTTTTTGTGCTATTAGACGACGATAATCTATCATTGTCATGCTTTATATGAAACGACAAAGAGTAGTAGTAATTACCGGTTTTTATTATTTCTGCGTGAAATGAGTAAAATTTCGTATTCCGTATCAAACAGGTAACACTGGTGACGAGTGATTCAAAAAATGGTTGCCTGTAAAGTCGGTTTTACGGGCGAAGATTTTACGTGACAACGTCTTTTTCTCGGTAGAATATTTATTGATATGAATATAATTAAATTGCACAATAGGAACAAGGAATTGAATGAAAATAAGAATTGCACAAATTTTAACTATAGAAATATATTTTGTTTACTAAAACATTGTACATGTAAACTTAAACTTAACACGAGAGACTCATCGTAACGTTACCGAGCGTTACACTTTTTCATAAGTGACTCCCAGCCGCAACCTAATTTAAGACGTTGTCACGTCAAAATACGGAAAATCAGTATTATGCGACTTGAAAGTCGAAGGTGACCTATGTCGCATTCGACGATACTATGTCAGACGAGTGATTCAAAAATAAAGCTCCTTGTACTGAGAAGAACCGGCAAGAAACTCAGCAAGGGGTGTTTTTCTCCCTGTTTTAGGGTTCCGTAGTCTTGACAAGGAACCTTTATAGTTTCGTCATTTCCTGTCTGTCTGTCCCCAGTTTTGCTTGACGACAATTAGCATACGAAAGCTGTTATATTTGGATATTGAACACGCTGGCAAAATGGTCAAATAAAATTGTGAAAAATATATTTTAGGGTAGCTCCCCTAATGTAACCAGGGGGTTATTACCCCATCGTGTGGGATATCGTTGAATAGTTCCTTTAAGATAACTTAGGGGTTCCTAAGACTATTTTTCGATTTAGAGTGCTAATTTTTGTCCATGAACTTTTAACTGCTTGGGGTTTTAAACTTTAAATTCATGCGGGCTATTTAAACTTTACGGCTCTATATATAGGTCATTTCGCCTAGTTAATCTATGGTTAAACTTTTTAATACAAAAGTAGGCTATAACTATCACAAAAAACGGCTTTATAGTACCGTGGGTAGAGCGCCCCGATCGGGGGCGTGCGGTGATCGACCGTGCGGTATTTTTCGAGTGCGCCCCGATTGGGGCGTGTGGTCTTTATTAAAACTATAACGGTTAAGAAAGATTTGTTAGTTTAAGAGTAATAGTCGTTCAACTTTGATTAAAGAACATTTATTACCTATTGAAAGTCCCTTAAAAGAAAACATTAATAGTAACATAGATGAAGTTATTGCAATACCTAGTATTGCAACTAAATCTAAAAAAAAAAATAATAACCACAATAAAATATCATTAGTTCCACAACGCTACCGCGAGTACCAACTGCAACGGCTCCCGAGTCTCGCTAACGTTACGTTTATATAAAAAGTATATAAGTACTTGAAAAGATTGGCGTTTATACCACATCAAGTACCCTTCACCCTACGCTGCGCGTGGCACGACACGCACTTGGCCGGTTTTTTATTATTTACAGAGTGGTCAAGTTGAAAAATTACTTCAGAGATGATTCATGAGTATGTGAAATATACATTAATTGTTCACTTGAATTTTGATTGTTGTGTCATACAGTAATAAAAAAACAACCGGCCAAGTGCGAGTCGGACTCGCGCACAGAGGGTTCCATACAAACCTGAAATTTTCAAAAATGATTTTTATTATATGATGTAACTAAAAATTTATGGTTTTCGCAATGGTGTCATGTAGCACCTGGTTTTGTACCCTTGTTTACCCTTCAACGGCCAAGTCACACAACATTAACTATAATAATAAAGAAATCGCAGTAAGGAACATTAGACTTGGCACGACTTTGTCTAGATTTCATTACTTTTTAAAGATAAACAAGCAGCTCAATCGAGACTTGGCTAGTTTTTATCCGGCTGCGCAATGCAAGAGCGCGAAGCGCGACGCGCAGACAGGGTTATGTGTTTAACAGTCTATATATGTATGTTTGTTCCTTTGTGGCACACTAGAGACCAAACGCCTAGACCGATTTTGATGATTCATACATCAATCGATTCGTCTCAATCATGGGAGTGCTACTAAAGATATGATAGTAATCAAAATTCAATATGGGCAAAATTAGGCGCCATATTGTGACGAAGTAAAAAAAATAAGTTGACAAAATATGTCGAGTCCCCACTCGACATATTTTGTCAACTTATTTTTTTTACTTCGTCACAATATGGCGCCTAATTTTGCCCATATGTATCACTGTATAGATAATCAAAAATCATATTTAGGTTCCTAACACCATTTTTCATTTAATATGAACGTTCAGGATCTACAATGCTTTAAAGTTGTATATTAACCACTTACGCTTTTAATTTCAATCTTACGTTTGTATGGATCTTTGTTACTCTTTCACCTAAAAAATACAGAATGGATTTTAATGAAACTTAACAGTAATATAGCTCATATATGATAATTACATATATATAATAATTTATGTAGTTATTGAGTGAATTGGCCAATATATAACAATAAGTGTCACATAAGACGGAAAAAAATCTCTCATCTGTGAGCCGAAAAGTTACATGAATGTAATGTAGAGTGAAAATGTATCTCTTCAATAGTTCTTAAAAAAATTCCGTGACACCATATATCTATTTTTAATGTGTAAGTCATTACCGCTAAAATAGTGAATAAAAACTAAAATATTATTTGATATCTATTTCCAAAATGCACATTTTGTATTAACAAATCATTTTTTATCAAAAACAAATACTTTTATCGCTTCTGGTATTTAAAGACGATAAACTTTGCTTTTTACACTATGTCATTTCGACAAATATTTAAAAAGTTACAACGATGACAAAGTGATAGCGCGGTGCGGTGTAATAAGTAAAAGAAAAAAAAATGGGCTATTCGCAGTATCTGATCCTATACGAAGCATAAACAATAAAACTGTGATACAGTTCCTTCTTATTAAATGATGAAAAATATATTATCCTAATAGGTATTTATGATTATTGAATTTTAATGAAAAACTCCGAATTTTACTGTTTTTCATTTTTTTAACGATATTACTTAATGTTACAAAAAAGGTTTACTTAATATAATGACAAATAACCCATTTTTCGCTAGTAAGTACATACTTATTGGAATCCCTGTATTTATTAATCAGCTCGCGATAATATTGGTTTTGTAATAATTCTGCAAAATTCAAAGTAAATAATGTAGATTTTTATAGAAGAAAGAAAGAAAAACGTTTATTGGCCTAAAACATTTACAGAACAACATACATTGAATAAATAAAGAGAAAATCAATAATATAGTGAGAAAGATATAAATAAAAAAATAAAAAGGAAAGGCCAA